CCCCAAAACCCCAAAACCCCAAAACCCCAACGCCAAAGCATATAGAGACTTCGAAAAAATTGAAGAAATTCGAAGTTTTTCTATTATTAATAATTCGTGATTGACTATATCTTTGATTGCTTTTAAAGTCTTAATAATTAATATTTTTAACATATCAATGCCAAACATTATCGGAAAGTACGAGCTTATTAAGACTCTCGGTAGAGGAGGCTTCAGTAAAGTGAAGCTAGCAAGAAATAGAGATAACTTCTAAGAAGTAGCAATCAAAATCCACAAGTTAGATAATCCTGAACTCGATCAAGAAAGAGTCAATGTTATTCAGAATGAAGCAAAACTTCTCTCTACAATTTAACATGAAAGAATAGTAAATATTATTGACTACTTCCCAAGATAAGTTGTGCAAAAGACAGACGGAACTTAATATGAGGTTGTCTGTGTTATAATTAGTGAGATTGCTGACGGTGGAGAATTGTTCTTTTACGTCAAGAATAGTGGAGCATTTAAAGAGAGACATGCTAGACATCTTTTCCGTCAAATGCTTGAGGGTTTACATTTCCTTCACAAATAAGGTTTTTGTCACAGAGATCTTAAACCAGACAATATCCTACTAACTGAAAACTTTGACGTAAAAATAGCTGATTTCGGATTTGCAGGACCAATGGCAGGTAGATAAAATGAAGGTTACTTGACGACAACTCTTGGTACAGTTCCATATCAAGCTCCCGAAATTAATCTAAGACAAACATACAAGGGTGAAGATGTTGATGTCTTCTCACTTGGAATCATTCTTTTCATCATGGTAACAGGTCTCCCACCTTTCAAAGTTGCTGATGATTCTGACTTCTTTTACAGACAAATTATTCATGGAAAAATGGCAGAGTATTGGGATTACTTCAAAAGCTAAGTCAAACTAAATGGAGGCTCGGAATTTAGCGAGAATTTCATGGACCTTATCCAAAGAATGCTTGAATTTATTCCTGATTAAAGGATTAAGTTGGATTAGATTTTTGAGCATAATTGGGTGAAATCTTCTGACTATCCTTATCCTGATGAAATCAGACAAGAATTAGCAAGGAGAAAAGCAAAAAACAGCCTCGAGGAACAAAAGGTAGCAGCACAGAAAAAGTAATAGAAGGCGAAATATCATGCAAAAATGAGAGGAGTAATCAACGAAGACGATGTAGATGATGATGATACAAAGAAGGAGGCCTTTAAGATTGAGAAACACATTGATGTGTCAAATGAGCAAATGCTACTAAATCATGTGATTCTTATCAGTGAGCACCCAGATGAAATTTTGGAAGTCATTCAAGATTACATTAATGAAAAGAAAGACGAGGAAGATATTGAAATCAATGAAAATGCTAAGAAACCATACAAAGCTTTAATTAAACATATCAAACCAGAGGGCATTTCATTAGAATTCAGCTTTAACATTATCAAGTTAGAAGGATAGGAGATGTTTGCCATTGAATTCCAGAATTACAACGGTTTACAAGACGATTTCCTCAACTTTATCAACGATCTTGATGCTGAGCTTAGCAAGAAATTCGGCTATGTTGATGTTGAGGATGAAGAAGCTGATTGAGCAGTTACCAAATTATTTCTCAAATATTAATCTTTATTGCTTACATTGCACTTAAACTCAATTTATCTCAGATTTCATCTTTTAATATGCTCGGGGTTTTGGGGTTTTGGGGGGATCGGAAGA